AAATACCCAAGTTACTCCTTCAATTATATCATAAATGCAATTAGAAAACGGATTTTAGAACTGCAAAAAGTTAACAAAAACATTAATTTTGTATGGATTAAAGCACATATCGGTCTCGAACATAACTAGTATGTGGATATGCTGGCAAAGAAAAGTGTAAAAAATGGTTTGACCAATAAACTACCTGTAAGTTTTTGTGATGCAGTAGCTTATATTAGAATGAATTATCTCAATCTTTGGAATGAATGTTGGTCACAACATACTTATACCAACCCTTCTAGATACTGCAATATACAAAATCAAATACCAAATAAAACGTGGTTCCAGCAATATAGTTATTCAAGAAAATATATCACAACGATAACAGGTCTTAGATTTGGCCACGCCTGTTATCCCACATATCTCCATAAAATTCATGTTCTTGAAAATGATCTTTGTCAAAATTGTGGCAAAAAAGGTGATTTAAATCATATATTTTTCGAATGCCAAAAATATAAGGATGAAACAGATCAATTTATTCAACAATTACATAATCTTAATGTACAGGCTCCGTTTAATATCCTTAGTCTCTTAGCTAATGGAAATGAGAGAATTTATAATGCATTAGTAAAATTTCTGTCAGGTACCAAAATAGTCTTTTAGTCTCAACTATCAAAAAAAATATATGTATATGCAAAATTGTGGTGAGCAACTTGGACAGTCCATAGCAAAGCGGCTGTCGAATTGAGTAGATAGCTGCTCAAGAGTTTGCTGTGGAACTCTGAGATGATGTTGGAAACATGCTATATATTTAACTTTTATCCTATTTTAATTTTAGCTCTTAAAGCATATTATTCAGCTCATCATTATTGATATTTTATGGACCTTACGGTCATAAAATTTTTATGTTTATGATGGTAGTCATGTTGTAACTGGCTGACTGACACCTAGTCTATGCCATAAAAAAAATAAAGTCAAATATAAAAAAGACAAAGAGAATCAAGTTGCCGATGCTCTTAGCCGAGTTCAAATAAACGCCCTAAGCTCTAGTTCAGAATAATCTGAACCACCAGACAATTTTGAAATTGACGATTTTCTTGCCGAATTTGACAGTTTACAAGACAGTACTAACAGACAACATACATCAGTTGTTAAGAACCCTATCACAGGAATAGAGATTTCACCTGAACCAATTAATTTATCCTCAAACCAAATTATTTTCAAACCAAAGTCAAATAATTTTTAAATAACATACAAAAGAATTTTTAATAAATACCGTTACACCGTTACTTCGAGAAATAATTGGAAAACAGAAATAGCAAATACCTTCCAAAATATCCTTAGACCAAAAGAAAAATTTGCAAAGACAATCCCTCACGAATTTAGACCATTTATCTGTGACTATTTTTAAGAAAAAATAAATTCCACAGTCAAAACAATATTTTGTAATATACTACTTCAGGGCATTAAAGAAGAAAATCAACAAATAAAGTGCATAAAGAAATATCACGTAGAAAACCACAACGGAATAATTTAAACTTCAAGCATGTAAGTAGAAATTTTGCAACCTCAAATAAGTACTGTTTATCTATGCTACCGTATACATATTTATACAAATGTTGGTATATATTTCCTTACATTTAGTAAAAATTTAGAAACCTAACCTTACCTCAGCATATTATAAGGTTACCCTAATTGTTCCCTTGTGATATGCTATCTAGTATCCTTCATTATGCCTTACTCGTACGTTTTTTTCTTACTTTACGTTAAATCATTTAGATTATATTATTACCTTATATTACCCCCTCTTATGTGCACATAATTTTTACAATAACCTTTACATATTTTACATATTAAATAAATTTATAATAATAAAATCTTATAATAATTCTTATATTAATACTTGCATTAATTCTTGGTACCAAGTAATAGTTTTGTTTTCACATATACACGATTAGTCACTTTGACATCTCACAATAAAGTTTTGTCATTTTATCTATTTATTCATTTATCCCTATTTATTTTGTTTACCTGCTGTACAGTCTAACATTTTTCTTTTTGCTATACACATTTAAAAACATATATTTTGTACAAACTTAAAACTATATTTACACATTATATTCATTTAAAAATATCTTTATATATTATTTGCATTCAAAAGTACATGTATATATTACGAGTATATTCGTTGACTCTTAATTGTCTAAAAGTATTGCTTCCTTAATTATTCTAGCTATAAAATCTGTGCCTTGGTCTGCTATTATTTTTCTGGGTACTTCATACCTCAAGATAAATTTTTCTACCAATGATTTGGCTACTATTTTATTTTCTATTACATATTCTTCTACGTAGTTGCTTAATTCGCATTGTACGTTAGTATATCTTTTTCCATTTTTATCCATGTACATTTCCATGGGTTCCTTGTTTAAGATTTAGTGCTTATGCCTTTGGCAGTCGTCGCATCTCTTCACATTTCACATATTTCTCAACATTTCTTCGTAATTCGTTCCAGAAATAGTATTTCCTTATATTTCTGTATTTAATATATATCCTATTTATTTTTCCATAACCTTCCTGTAACATGTGGAAGTCGGTAATTATAACTCTTCTTGGCCTGCTTATCTTGTACTATATTATATATTGATTGTATTATGTTTATCTTGTACTATACAAGCTTTTATACTTTCTTAAAAAAATTATTATTTTCTGTTGAATTGGCTGATTCTTATTTTTCATCTCTTCTTATTCTAATTTTCGTTATTATCATTTTCTTTATAATCTTCTGCATTCATATTTGTCTCCTAATGCTATTCCTGAAGCATAAATTCTTAAAATAAATTTGTTTTTCTTCGATAAATCGGGGAATTATATAACGGGGCTTATTAGCTAACGGGGATATGTCTTGAGCTTAATAAATGCTTCTTGACATTCAGTAGTCCATTAAACTTTATTTTTTCTAGATAGTCTGTTACGTGGTGTGGCTATTTCTGTAAAATTGATGACATGTTTTCTATAATAATTTGCAAATGCAACAATCGCTTTGCTTTTTTTGCATTCTGCGGTGTCTGTTTATTCGAAATATTATGTCCTAAGAGTTCCTCTTCTAGCAAAAATATGAACATATTTCTGTTCATCGATTTTCCGTCTATGTCGAAAAATAAAATCCATATTTGTTAGTTCTTCTTGCATCGTAAATAAAATTTTAAATATACGGGTCATATTAATAAATAATTAACCTGTTCAGTTATATGGTACTCATTTCATAATTGATGACCTTGCTTACCATGCAACTATATCAAATATCTAATAGTAAGTCGGCTATAAAATTAACCTAATGTCGTTATGTAATGTTTATACTAGGAATACTGCGTTTTGTTATCAAAATAAAATATTATGAGTACGGTTTTTCTTTGATTTCGTATCTTTTTGCAAAGTAACATTTTCTTTGTATATATGGGTCTTTTTCCGAAAAAATAAAAATATCTGCATATTTTGCAATTTTCTATAGGCCTTTTTTCTTCAAATATTGATGGTTTTTACCGTGCTTAATAGTTGTTCGACTTTTTCTCTTTTGTTTTGTTTCTTCCATATAAAATATATAAAATTTTCCTGGTTATCTATCTTCGGAATAAAACTTCTAATTTATATTTCTCGATTATTTACATTTATGATTCCTATAGGTAACACAATTTTAATCGGTTTATCTATTAATTCTTCTGTAAATTCCTTCGCAACTTCTGGTTTCTATATTACTATAACTGTTTCTTCTGTATTTTGTATTTTGTATCGGTTCGATCTCGAAATTAATTTCGCCTAATATGTACTAATATAGACATATATTTTTCAAAATAATCTGTTCTTCATTTTTCCGCATGTGTGCGTACTTATTTTATTTAATATCTTTTCTTCTCTTGCATATAAATACACTAATTGTATATATTATATTCATTATTTATATTCATTCATACTATATTCATCCTCTACGATTTTGGTACTTCGCATATGTATATTTCTACATTTTTCAATATCTTATTTCCTTTTTCCTATTATATCTCTACATCTTATTGCTCATTTTCCTAACCATTTGATTTTGTTTTTGACCCGAATACTCAGTCTTGGTGAGACTCGGTTTGCTCCAAAAGACAAAATTAGTAGTCTATGCGCCTCCATATTATTTAGTACCTTTCTTACTGTTTGCTTGTGGATTTTATGTTGTAATATAATTTCCTCTAAGTTCTTTATTGTGGCAAACTTCTTTTTCAATAATTTTCCATTTACTTCATTAAAAAAATCATATTTTAAAATCGTTTTTCCATTTTAATCCATTATGTAGTTACTGTATTGTCGTGCTGGAGCCGCAGGACTCTTAGCGGGTTGGGATTCAAGTACCACCCTAGCTTATCCTCTTAGCAGCCTCCTGCTCGACGTAGATTCCAACCATTAAGGTCGAACTATATCCAGTTTGTCTACATTTCTGTTAAAAAATCTACTTCTGTCACTGTATTCGTATTCGCGTGCGGTGCGTAATATGCTCTCGCTGTGCATCTATTTCTGTGGCATCTCACTTGTGTCCATTGATTATTATTTTTTCTTCGTTGTGATTGCCAATCTCCTCTGTTTCTATTACGATATATCCTCGTATCATGTCTTTCATATTCACTTATATTTCTATATTTTTTTCTTTCTTCGAATTTATAATATCCATATATTGCATTCTTACTTCCTTTTCTCCTATCAAAATCGTATCTCTTCCTGTAATTTAACACTCTTCCTTGTGTGCTATTTTCTGTCTCGTCGATCGATAAAAAATTGTACATTACCTCTTGTGGGGTTGTAAAGTTGCCTGCCTCTAGTATTATCTTGACTTTGTCTGCGCTGGCATTATATTTCATTGTAGCTACTACTGCCTCTGTTGTGTATTTTTTCGCTAGTTCCAATGGCATTCCTTCCTCTACGTATGCAACTTTTAGCTGTTTCGCTAATTCTTCAACTTCAGATGCACAGACCTCTGCATCTTTATGTCATTGTCTTTTCTTCGCCAATTTAGCTATTATCGTCTTCGGACTGTCGCCTCTCAGTTCTCTCTTCAGTGCCTCTGCTATTCTTGCGATTGTATCTTCTGTAGTTATAACGTTTCTGGCCTTATTAGTTAATCTTGTCTTTATTAGTGTTATCGCTGTTTCCTCGTGTCCTATCGCTATTTTCTCAAGTAGTTCTAGTGCATCTAAAAATGACTGCAGTTTACCTGCTCTTCCATCAAACGCGCTGGGTAACATCTTGCTTGCGATATTTAAAAATTCGTTGATTGTAAGAGCCACACTTATTTCTTGCTCTATGTCGCTATGTTCTTCCTTCTTTATATGTTGTTTCTTTGTCATAGGTAAAGAAACTGGCTTAAAATCTTCTACATTTTTTGTATATTCTTTATCCGAAATTTCCATAATGTTATTATCGTTTACGACTTTTCTATCTCCAGTGAGTCCTTGTATTTGCAATGATTCGGCCGTTTCAATAAAGGTATTTAAATCTTCTTGTCTAATTTGTACTTCTCCATGGTATATAAATTGTAGTAAGTCTGTTAGTGCTTCGTAAGTCACGTTTGTCAAAATTACTATAGGATGTTGACAGGGATTTGACTTAAGAATTTCTTTAAAATATGGGCTACAAACCGAAAGAACCATTTTATGCGCTTTTATGCATTTTCCTTGTGCTGAAAGCGTTACGTCTACAAAATCTTGACTCTTCCATAATGCATTTATTCCTGAACTTATATTTTCGTGGAAATTGTTCCAACGCAATGAAAATTTTTCTGACGCCATGGTCAATTGTCGTTCAAAGTTCTTTTAAATTATATCCTTCCTTATAAATGTAACAATAATTCTAAATATCCTAATTTAAATAGTAAAATAAAAAGTCATATCAAATTTCTTCGTCTATATTATTTGAAGAATTTGTCATCTAAGCAAATTCATGCCATTCATTGTAAATAACGTCGTAATTTAAAATTTCCGATCTGTCGGTGTATTTTCATTTTCAACAATATAAATATTTTTAAAAATATATCTTTAGTAAATAAAATGTATGACACATTAAAATTTGTTTCATTAAAACAATAGAATTTGCTATATAAAGTTATTTAGTGAAAACTTAAAAATAAATTATATACTCTACTTTCAAAGCAATAAAAATTGTATATTCAACATTCTGAACTAGTTAAATTCTTTATATTTCTAATAATTTTTCTCAAGTAATAATTAATAATTTCAATCTGTTAGACTGTATTTATATAAGGGATAAAAAATAAATTTACTCACATAATACATTTAACATACGGTTTTTGTTAATTCACTTTTTCCATAGTCCATTTTCCCATTTAATGTCCATTGTCCTTAGCTGGAATGCTGTCGCGGGGCTCTCGGCTGGCCTGGTAGGGAATTTCATTATCTCTTGATGCATTTTCCCATTTCGAAATGCATTGGTTCCATATAACATCTAATATGCAAATTTCCGTCTAAACTTCCAGTGGGATTTTCTTCTCATCTTCTCTGGATGATGATTCCTGGTTTCTACCACTTCAGGATCGCCATGTAATAAATAATGTCGTGGGGTAGTAACTAATGTGTTGTTAACTTAGTTGCCCATTTATTTAAACTCTACTGTACACTCTTTCAATATAATTATCTTAACTAGACTAGTACTTAATTGACGTTGACTATGTATGATGTCAATTGTTGACCATGTTGTTACTTATTAGTATGTCAAGTTTGTTCATGACCTACGCCAAGCATGTGGTGATCGGCAATAGTGCTGACTACCAATTCTAATTAGAGTACGTTATTTATGAATGTCCTCGATTCAAATTACTAAATATATTTATATAAACAAAATGTTAAATGTTACACGGGTATAAATTATAATATTTTATATATGTGAATTATAATATTTAAGGAATAACACCACAAGCAATTAAAACAAAAATTTTGTTGTCCCTCAATGCAGACAATTATTTCGAATTTTATCAATAAATGCGAAATTTGCCTAAAAAATATCACGAACAAACCCGACGTTCTTAGAAACTTCCTCAATTAGGACCATTGTTAGGTCAAAAACCTTTTAATATATTACATATCGATCTATTCCACTACAATAAAAACCTGTATTTCAGAATAATAGATTCTTTTTCCAAATATGGTCAATGCCATAAGCTCACCGACAAAACTTCCATTTCCATACTAAATAAATTGAGACACTACTTTTCGCACCACAATTATCCAAAACAGATTGTATGTGACAGTGGCACCGAATTCAATTCCGCAGTCAAGAATTCTTAAATATCCACAAAATCGAAATACATTTTACAATAGTAAATAATTCCTCTTCAAACTCTCCAGTAGAGCGCTTTCATTCTACTCTTATTGAAAAACTTAGGACCTTACAAACCCAAAATCCGAATGATTCGTTAGATGACATTCTAACAGATGCCATTTTCATTTACAACCAAACAAATCCACAGTTTTACAGATTCTCCTTCCGATATATGAAACATATAATCAAAGACATAAAGAACTCCAACCCTTTACTACAGAACTATATAATAAACAAAAACAAAAAAAAAACAACAACTCTTAGATAGACAAAACGAAAATGCCGAAGATATTTCGAAAATAGACCTCACAAAATCCTTATATGTCTCTAAGATAATACATAAGTCTAAATTACAAGCACTTTTCTCCACTATTCATCCAGAAAAACAAGTCAAAACAAAAATTGTCGGTAAAACAGATAAACAAAATGTAACACGCCCTCATCTTAAACATAATATATAAATCGAACACGAAAACATGTAGACAAACCTACTCAAGATTCAAATTTTTCAAGAAGATACAGGACAATCCTCGCCCTGGTTAATCCATTTAGTATTCGGGATATTCCGAATAACGGTTATTATGCTGAAGAGATTGGCAAATCGAGAGAAATCTCCCACTACCACAGACACTTTCTTCACATACCACTAGACAAACTATCTGACACTATTGACGCTAGTTCGACAAGCTATTTCTGAGATCACATCAAAAATGTACCTCTCTCGCTCTGACTTAGAGTTATTAAAATCATACATAATCTGTATTGAAAATAAACAAAATAAAATTATTAAAAAATTTAATAAACAAATATCTTATGGAAACTCTTTTAACACGTGATTCGATAAACTTTTAGAAAAACTAAATTCTGATAATTTATTTCTCATACCTGTACTTAACAAATTATCAGCTGATTTTGACAGCTATATCATTCTACACAATGAGATGATACCTACAAAATATAAACGAATTTCTAATAAAACTTATAAGAACCATTACTTTATCTGAGCTAAATATCTCTAATATATAATTATTCATTTTGAAGGAAATAATAGACCTTCAAGGAAACCTTCTCAAAATTTATCCCAGAAATTCATTCCCCAATAGTAATGAACATTCTTATAAACTTATAGAGTCAACAAAAACTTTAGTTTATGTAATTTCAAATACAATGCTCATAATAATTAAAATTCCTATACTCCATGAAATTCCCTACACTAACTATAAAATCCACTTTATTCCAAAAAAAAGATCATGTTATGATTTTGCCACCTGCAAGCTACTATACAAATAATAAATGGTTCGACACTTGTATAGGACAAGACGACAACATAGCCTGTTCCAACCATGTACAATCCCAATGTAACATACCCAATGTAGATTTTTGCACAAAAACATTAATCACAGAGAACTTTTTCCAAGAGACCAGCAAAGTCATATTGCTAGGAATAGTTCACCCGATGAGAATCTAGCAGATAGAAATCAGTTCAACCAACCTCTTGACGACAGATGTACTAATAATGATTGAACGTATTCAATTTAATAAAAAGACGTCACAAGACATTTACAATCCAAAAATTGTTCCAATAAAATTAATACCAAACCATGAGATGAAAATCGAAAAATTAACAATCCCAGAGACACATTATCAAATCCAACCACTAGATACCATAAATGTACTACCCTGATTATCAATAGAACTGAGCACTACTTCTGTTGTAATATTTTTAAGCATTTAAGCTTTTCTAATAATCTTAATAATTAGGAAAAGAAAACTATTTGGAGAAAAATTACATCCTGCCCAGAACCAGATATTGGACGATCTGATAGCTGAAGTAACCAAAACTTCGAGGGCGAAGTCCCAACCAATGAAGGGAGGAGAAATGTAGCCATAAGCTCCCCTACTATTAAGACTCAGCAGATTTCGATGTCTGAAGTTATATAAAGGAAGAAATCAATATTTTTATTATTATTGTAATTATTAGGTTTCAATAGTCAATTTTTGAAAATTGTAACTTTTAATTTTCGAAAGATAGAAGAAAGATAAAAGATTTTTCTTTGGGAACTTAACGTAGAAGAATCATTTCTATATAGTATTGTACTTTAACACGTGAAGTGAAGGTAGCGAAATGCTATCGCGTACCAAAGACCACTGTCTTCTTGGCACGTCAGGAGCAAAGTGACTTGAGATTGCAACATACATGTCCAAATGACTCCACATGGTCAGGTCGAGGTCGTCTTTCAGCGCGGGAAATATAACTGGGAACGCTAAGGCCGTTTAATTCTTGAAACAAGTAATGATCTCTGTTAGTGTGATGCGTACTACCCGCAGTTAGATGGGGTTGTCGGTGCGATTTTGAAATAATTTTTCTTAACGATTTAATAAATATTTATACAAAGTTGCGAAATTGCAACAATATCTGCTCAACTCTTTCTACTTATTTTGTGAAATTAGCTCTCTCCATAAATTGTTATCCCCGTAGATGGGTTTTCCAAGGCTCTCTTGAATATCAGTTCCAAGTAAAATAACATAGGGGCCAATACATACTTTTGCCTTACTCCTTTACTTATACTAATATTTCTAGTAAGTGTGCAACACTTGTGCAACAGTGCCTGTAGAGAAAATAAAGCCTCATTTATTCCCATTCCAACACTTAATCCAAAAAAGTCGTTTCCCACTTTATCTTCACAATTTTGTATAATCTGTTGTGAACTATTTTAGTAGATTTTTATACTTGACTTATTAATCTAAAATCTGCTCATCGTCTGGAATTAGCTTGTTTTGGTAAGTAAATATAGAGAGATTCTAACCATGTCTCTAGTATTTTTACAATATTATAAATTATATTAAACAAAATTAGTAACAGATTAGGATTATAATTTTTTATTAATTTGAGTTTGGTAGGGTAATCTTCGTTAGGTCCAAGGCTTTTGTTAATTTTTAATTTATTAATGATATATTTCATCTCAACTGTTAAAATTGGTGGAGTTAGAAACGACATTAAGATCATAATTGGAGGTCTTAATGACAAAATAGTCCATATTATATGAAAATTATACTATGAAGAAAATATATTTAGTCCAGATACCGAAAAATTCAGTACTCATTATATCATCAACGACAATGGAAATAGAATATTAGGATTTGCAGCTTTTAAGGGCATGGTGAATAAAAGTACTTTCTTTCCCAACAAGAATATCCATAAAGTAACATGGAGTTTGCCTGATGAAACATTAAAAACAAAATAGAGCACATCCTAATAGAAAGTAGGAACTTTTCTAATCTAATGGATGTACGTACATATCGTGAGGCTACTATAGATTTAGACCACTTTATGGTGGGCGCAAACATAAGAGTAAGAATTTTAAACGCAAAAAAAGGAAATGGGAAGTAGAGTTCTTTTTATAATTTAAAACTCTTGACAGAACCCCGTACACTAGAAAGGTATTAAGAATAC